CTTCTATGAAATCATTTATTACATCCAAAAAAGAAAATTGCTGAAACTAAACAACTTTATTTTAAAAACTTTCAATTCACTTGAGTGGTTGTCTCCAGCATAAGCAGCGCCACAAAACGACAAGATACAGCAGTTCCCAGGTGCGGCGTTCGGCGAAAAAATGCAAAAAATGATACCAACTTACTCAAACACCCAAAGTTCAACCTCCTCCCATAAAAAAAGTCCGAATAAGACCAAGTTCCACATTAATTAAAAAACCCAATGTTGATTAAATATACAAAACCTCATCTTGCATAAGCCATTAATAAATGTTCCCTTAGAACCCTACACAAACAAAAACCTTCAATGTCTGATGTCCCTCTTTGCACACTTCTTTATAAGACCCTTTGTGCCCCTCAATTCCCCAAAGACAACCCTTAGTTCCCCTTCCTATTTCTTTTTGCACCCTTTCCTAGTCTCCCCGTGTGCTTTGCAATTTTTAAGATTCTTTCTTCTTGATTTCCTTTCCTCTGCTCTCCTTTTTTTTTTCCTTTTATTTATTTATTTTTTTTACTTTTCTTCCATGGCATCTTCTGGCACCGGCACTAGCTCTCCTTGTGGTGCATGCAAGTTCCTCCGCAGGAAATGTGCCTCTGATTGTATCTTTGCACCTTACTTCTGCTCCGAACAGGGTCCTGCTCGCTTTGCTGCCATTCATAAGGTCTTTGGTGCCAGTAATGTCTCAAAATTGCTATTGCATATCCCGGTTCATGATCGTTGTGAGGCGGTTGTAACCATTGCCTATGAGGCTCAGGCTAGGATCCGTGACCCTGTTTACGGCTGCGTCGCCCATATTTTTGCCTTGCAACAACAGGTTAATATATATATCTGTATATATATATATATATATGATATAACAAAAGCCATTCAATGTCTTCTTTATTTAATTCTCGTTCACTTAGGTATAGATAATAGTTGTTATTTTTTATAATTGATACCATTTTCGTTTGTTGAATTAGAAAAAAAATAAATGTAAGTTATTTCTTAACAATTAAACTGAAATAAATTTATATAGATTTTATGATAAGTTTCAAATTCAAAAATCATTTCTCAATTTTTAGTCGGTTTCTTCCTGATTTTTTTTGTTTCCAAACAGGTGGCATGTTTGCAAGCTCAATTGATGCAAGTTAAGGCTCAACTTGCCCAAAACGTCATGAATTCACATAACGTGGAAAATCTTCAGTGGCAAGGCAACATTTCCGGGGTGCCAGCACCGGCTTATCCACCCTTTATGAATCCAATTTCTCCGCAAAGTTCTCTCGAAAGTACTGTCGAACACAGCCCTGATGGCATGGACATGCAAGACAGGGAGGAATATCTTTCTTCATCAATCCAAGGTTATCCTAAGAAGAGACCATACAACAACGATCTGGGTGAGCTTCAAGCACTTGCCCTTAGAATGATGAGGAACTGAGTAATTAATCATCATGTCTCTTTTGCGAATTATGATGCTCTTTGCATCTACAATTTAATTTGCCAGAAAATAAATGTGTATACGTAGAAAAACTTAAGAGTAACTTCATAATTAAGCCCTTAATCTGTGCATTTCTTATTTTGTTCAATCAAAATACTATCCATGAAACTTAAAACTTTTACTCAGAAGCAAGTAGAAATACTTTCTGTCTTTTGGTGTGGGAATGAATTAATTAATTAATCTTTAGTTGTAATATGTTATTGGGGTTGGTTTATTTTTCAATTACTTTACTGAAACCATGATAATGGAGCTACTCCATTGACAATTACTAGTGGAAAGGGATTCTTGGAATTTGGGTTTTTAAAATTTTTACTTTTATTGTTTTTTTTTGGTACATCACTTTTATTGTTTTTTTAATGGAGGATGATGATACTTATAACAAACAAATTTGAACCCTATTCTGTCCTTTCCCACAAGGACGTTTATAGTGGAGTCCACAAGGGTGATCTTAGATGTATAGCACTCTTATAAAAATTATACTATATGTTACTTGTTTGAGTGATATATATTGGAGGGT